TGTAGTCCCAGCTATTCAAGAAGCTGAGGTGGAAGAATCACTTGAGCCTAAACAGTTGAGGCTGCAGTGACCTATGATTTAGCCACTGCATTCCAGCCCGGGTGACAGAGTGCGACCTATATGGGTGTGTATACACACACACTCATACCCACACACACACGCAAACACACATATATATAATAAAAATAGTATGTATATTAAAAAAACTTCGGCCAGGTGCAGTGGCTCATGCCTGTAATCCCAGCACTTTGGAAGGCTGAGGCGCGTGGATCACGAGGTCAGGAGATCGAGACCAGGCTGGCTAACACGGTGAAACCCCGTCTGTACTTAAAGTACAAAAAAAAGTAGCCGCGTGTGGTGGCACACTCCTGTAGTCCCAGCTACTCGGGAGGCCGAGGCAGGAGAATCTCTTGAACCCGGGAGACGGAGCTTGCAGTGAGCTGAGATTACACCACTGCCCTCCAGCCTGGGCGACAGAGCGAGACTCCGTCTCAAAAAAATTAAAAAAATAAAAATGATAAAAGTAAATAAATAAATTCAAGCACAGAAGAAAAGTGAAGGTGTGGGATGTGAGGAAAGGTGAGTGTGGCTCCTGCTGCTCAATGAGACTTGGTTTTCCATCTTGAAGAACTGCCCATCCACATTGAAACCGCAACTCAATTCTCACGTGAAACTGCTCAAGTACCACTATTTACTTTTTTTTTTTTTTTTTTTTTTTTTTGAGACAGAGTGTCGCTCTGTTGCCCAGGCTGGAGTGCAGTGGCGCGATCTCTGCTTACTGCAAGCTCTGCCCACCAGGTTCATGCCATTCTCCTGCCTCAGCCTCCGGAGTAGCTGGGACCACAGCCGCCCGCCTCCACGTCTGGCTAATTTTTTTGTATTTTTGGTAGAGACGAGGTTTCACCGTGTTCGCCAGGATGGTCTCCATCTCCTGACCTCTTGATTCACCTGCGCTGGCTTCCCAAAGTGCCAGGATTCACTATTTACCTCTTAAAATAATAGTAATAACAATAGTTGGCCGGGCGCGGTGGCTCAAGCCTGTAATCCCAGCACTTTGGGAGGCCGAGACGGGCGGATCACGAGGTCAGGAGATCGAGACCATCCTGG